CATTGATCTGCATTCTGTAAGCCATCCATGAAGACGATATAGCGCATCTTTACCGCATATCCAAAATGTATGAAAGAAGGGACGGCAAACCTTGCCAAAATATGGAAGTTGATAATCAATATATGCCCGTTTTCCATGTGTTTCATGGTAAACAGAAGCCATAAGAATCATTATTGAATAGCGTCGTTGATTCTTGTCCATCCAAAGGCTTTCTAATGACAAGGACTGCAGCAAACGCGGTGAGACTTTTTCGCTACAATTTTTTTCACACAAACAACATGTTTTAAGCTTGTTTACTAAGTTATTCACAGCGACCTGATCCTTTTCATTGAGTTGACTAATTTCTTCAGATTCGTTCCCTGTTGAATCATCATCTTTTAATTCCGACTCTGATTCTTCCGATTGAAAGTCTTCTTCATATGTACTTTCATTTGAGTCGTTCGAGTCTGACTCTAAAGTAGCGAAATCGAGAGTGTCAAAAAAATGCTCTACGTTTTGAGAAACAGTACTGGAGGATTCCATTTGTGATTAATATGTTGCGATTCGAATAAAACGGCGATTAGTACTTTATAATATTTATTGTCGCGCTGAAGCTGGAAATGTCTGAAGCTGAAATTAGATTACCTGCAGAGACAGTTAATAAGGCAAAATCTTTTATTAGACGGACGGGAGAACAACATGGTGAGGCAGTAGCAGTTCGAAAATATGCACGAAAAAAGGCTGATGGACAGGTGACAGTAAGCTACGAAAAGCATGACATGATTCTTCTTCCCTCTCATTACTCTTACGACCGTCTTCTTGCTGCCTACAATTTGATGAATCCTGAAACATTAATTAAAAGTCGGTGGACTTTTCGACAATTATGGAGAGCAGATTCTGAACTTACCAAAATTGTAATTAGGAAACCATCCAAGGACAAGTGTGACGAGTGTACAGTATTCAAACGGGCATTGAAAGAAAATGTTAGTGATATAAATGAAGATCTTGACGCACAATTAATGGCACACATAACTGATTATCGAGAAATGAGAGATGCTTATGAAAATGACATACATGTGGCGAAAACGTGTGACAGATCTTCATTTCGCATTTTTTCTTTCGATTTTGCCCAAAACTTAGAATTGCCTCATGATCCTCAACAACCTGGAAAATGGTACTATTTATCATTGTTAAAAGCACACCAGTTCGGGTTAGTAGATGAAGGCATCGACAGTCACTGGCACGTTATCTACACGGAAGGCAAAGCACTAAAAGGTGCAAATGAAGTCGCCTCAATTATCCATCTATTTCTTACCTCTACAGCAGGTGATGCAAAAAAAATTCGATTATGGGCGGATAATTGTGGTGGCCAGAATAAAAATACTTGTCTTCTTTGGTATTTCCTTTGGGCATGTCATACTCAGATATTTCAAGAAATTGAATATCGTTTTCAAATCAAGGGTCATACTAGAAATTCAGTTGATCGCGGATTTGGTCTTACGAAGCGAGAGTATACTAGGTCAGAAGTTTGGTGTATTGATCAATTATTAGATGTAATTGATAGAAGCGCAAACAACAATATACCCATAAATTTAGAAGACCAAATAGGACCATTCCGTGATTGGACTTCGGCACTTAGCACATTATACCGTAGGCCTCCCGCTATACAAAAATATCACATCTTTCAATTTAGTCATGAAAGACCCGGTATAATGAGAGCTAAAGTAAGAATCGATGACCCTTGGGATGAATTTCAGTTATTGAAACGAAATGTCAATGTTATAGCTTTGAATCCTCAGGAGCTTCAACCAAAGGGTCTTCCAGAAGAAAAGCAAGTAGAACTCTGGGAAAAAATTCGTCCATACTGCCCAGTTGCCTTCCGTGATGAGCTTTGTCCTAAACCACAAAACGATCTATTTGAGAGGGTTAGAAATCTGAAAGGAA